AGGTGGAACCGGATCGGAACCGTTTAGAACCGGTCGGTTCGGTTCCGGTTCTTCTAAAAAATAATTTGATTTTGGGACAAATTATTAAGAACTGATCCGTTCTGGTCCGATTCTTGGTTCTAGTATGGGAACCGAACGGTTCTCATAGAATTTTTCTTAGTGGCATTTTTTTCTTTTTTGGTAAAATATAAGACTTACTCTCCAATTTATCCCGAAACCAAATGGTAATATATATGACTTACTCTTAAAGTGAAAAGAAACTTCCATCAAAGTAAAACAAAATTAAAAAAAAAAAAAATTTGTAGTATAACAACATAAGCAAAAGGCAGCGACATATGGAAATGAAACGAATGTTTATGTATATAGTTCATATAGAAAAATACTGAATTGTGATTACCTGAAAGCTCAAGAAAATGTTAAAAAGGGACCCTTCAGTTGACATTTTTTTTCAGTAAAATATATGACTTACTCTCCAAACACTTTTATTTTGTTTTCATTTTGATGAAAGTTTGTTTAATCATTGAAGTACTAGACGGTTTATATAAGTTAATATTTGTTGGATAATAGTAACTTATATTATTTGCATATTGTTTTAAAATTTGTTTACTTAGTTTTCTTTTAATCTTTGTATAATATGTTCAGTTCTTCTATATTTTTTTAAAAGTATCACATTTGTAGTTTCTTTAGATTTTTATTAGTAAACATTTTATTTTGACATCTTTATGTAAAGAATCGGACCGGATCGAATCGGAACCAATTGGTTCGGTTCCTGTTCGGTTCCATAGCTAACAATGGAACCAATGGTTCCATTTCTAAAATTCTCATTGGTATTCGGTTCGGTTCGGTTTCTTTTAGAACCGGACCGCGCCCACTCCTAGGATTTACTTTCAAGATTTCAATTAAAATAATCGTAGTAGATTCAACTAAATTTTCTGAAATTTTCATGCGATTTTGAAGCTCATTTTCTATGTTATAAAAATATAACTGCATATAAGAAGGCGTATTATTTTTTGGCATAAATTTATTTACATAATGATATACTTGTTCTTGAACTCTAAATGTATAAATACCTTTATATGTTTGAAAAAGTTCTTTATCATATTTTACACCAAATGAAGTGAACGCGAAGTGATTATTATATCCACGTGACAACTTTTTGAATTCTATACATGTAGGCTCTTTTGAAATACATAAATCATATAATTCAGTTGGCGAATCTGCCACAAATAGTTTAACTTTTCCATCAGAGCAACAAAAACATTTACTTTCCCTATAGAATTTACGTGCACCACAATGTTTACAATAACTGTATGTCAGTAATACATATGTAGTAGTTGGTATATTTAACAAATTAACACTTCCTTGTAGTTCAGAAAGATGAACATTTGTCGATTTTTCATTCGAAGTAGAAGGCTCAGATTAAAACGTATTATATGTTGATCAACTTGAGTAGCACCTAGATTATGATTTTCAGATACTCTAGGATTGCTTACTCTTCTACGACGATCAACGCGCACAGTTTGGTTTCGATTCCTTCTGTTCGCCTGTCTTTGACATTTTTGTTAACGAATGAAAGCATTATATGATTCACTTGTGCTTTCGTGAACGCTTTCAATGTCACAAAAACCAGATAATTGATTTGCATATTGTTCGGAAGAATCCATAGGGACAACAAAATGCTTGTACATAGTACCGAGTTAACCATAAATACAACTTAATCAAAACCACATTAAATACATGCATTTGAATTAGAAATCACAAATAAATATTACACAAAAATTATAATTTATTTATTTTGACGAAATAAATTCTATACAGCAATACATCACAATTTTACACATAATTTTAAACTGTCTACATTTGTTCTTCATTTCCTATAGGAGAAAAATATACAATAACCGAATATACATAAAATAAAAATATAGAAATTTTACCACAACAACACATGATTGCAAAATTAACAAAAATTGTCAAGTTGAAGTGTGTAGTATATATACATATATAAATATTTAAGTAATATACATGCATTTTATGTTATATATACATGTAGGAAGAAGTAGAAGAACTTATTTGTATAGATGATTTGCTATGCTTAAATGTAATAAGCCTAAAATTTTAGTTAACAGAAAATGTAAGTTTTCTTTCTATGATTGTAGTTTTTGGAAAAAAATTCATGAAAGATAATTTGTAAGTAAAAAAATAAGTTGATTTTTCTTATTTATATATTTAAAAAATTTCCCTAATATTCATTTGGCCTTTTTTGAATAAAAGCTAAACATATGACTATTTTAATTGAAAATAGTGTTCAGCTGACAAATATGATACAATAGTGAAATGCATTTATAAAACCTCATTTCCTAATAAACTCCCATGCCATTTTTGAATTAAATAAAGCAATTAAGAATCATAATTTGTAAAAAATTGAATTGAAATGTGGATTAAATTATAATTTGTTCCAATTATGAAGCTAGATGAAGCCATTAAGTGTAGAAGTTGGAAAAAAAATCTTCAATATTAAAAGAGAATGGAGTTAGATATCTATAGAGTTTACATTTTTTATTTTTCTTTTTAGTGTTTATTTAATGTTTTCAATGTGGAATTCTTATTTTGTATTACTAGCATTTCCTACTATTCCTTCTCCTCAATCCATTCTTATCTTGTATCATTTCTCGTTGCCAACTTCTTCCTACTATGAGAAATTTCATCTTTCAAAATGACTGCTGCATTTTTTGTTGATGAAGAAAATACTTGATGCTCAATAATATCTGCTATTATTAAAGTTCTTCTGCACTCTCACAATAGCAAAATATACAACAATTGTGCTAACAAGATTGAATGAGTATTACAGAATTTCTAGAGTCTTATTATTATTATTATTATTATTATTATTATTATTATTATATAAAAGAGTTAATCACTTTACATTGTTATAAGTAAATATTACTACTTTTGCAATTCTATGATTCTATATATTTTATTTAATGTTACGTTTTAGTCATTTCCTGTTCCAAGTTTGTTAAGGGATGCACACAACATGATAGTACTAAGTTTGATAATCGTCTGTCAAATTTTAGAAAGTTGAAACTATTCTATGAAATCATTTTTGCTTCGATCATATTTGGTAAAAATATCTAAAAAAATGATAGATTATGATTGAGCAGAAAGCTTGGATGTGCCCTAGAGTGATTGAATTCAAAATGAAAGAGAGAGGTAATAAGAGAAGTAAGAGAAGAGAGCTGAGAAGTTGAACTCGGTACTAAAAACTTTAGTAGTCTTAAAGTAAAAAAACATTCGGTCTACAAATCAAAGATCCTTAAAATGATTTACCCAAAATCCCCAAAAACAAATGAAATCCTAAAATCCCCAAAAATAAAACCTTACCTAACAAAAATCACAGCACTCAAAAGGTCTCACGTTAAAACATTAACTTCACGAAAACAAGTTTATCAATATTTTAAAAAAAAAAAAAGCCAACAACATGAAAAGGAGAAGTAAAAACATCCCTCGCTCGCCCTCGTTGTCGTTGAAATCACTCTATCATTAACTCTTTTTTGATGAATAATTGTTAGGGAGTTTAATGTTTTCAACACAGAATGAAAGTGGAGAAGAGAGACGTAGATTGGATTGATAGAGTCAGCAACAATATGCAAGTGGTTTGGAGAAAATGAAATGTAAAATATAATATCTTGCTAAATGGTAAAAAAATGTAGGCTAAAAAGTTGAAAATAAGAAAAGGTTGCTAAAAAGTCGAAAATAAGAAAAAGCTCTGCAAACCAATTTTGCTACAATGGTATGAAACCTAAGCTACAAAAATGAAAAGTAAATACAAAGAGAGTCTTATAAGAGAAGGTTGGTTAAGAAAAGTAGGCTAAAAAGTTGAAAATAAGAAAATACTGCTAAAAAAGTCAAAAATAAGAAAAGACTCTGCAAACCAGTTTTGCTACAGTGGTGTGAAACCTAAGACTACAAAAACAAACAGTAAACACAAAGAGAGTCTTATAAGAGAAGGTAGGAAATGTATATAAAAATTATGAATCATATGAAATGTAATAAAAATAAGGTTTGATTAACGCTCAACATTGACTCTGGTCGAACTCGTAAATTTGTTTATTATTTTGAAAAAAATGGTTTCAACATTTATTTACTGTTAAAAGCGGCGTAGTGGTAATAAATTAGGGAAAGTTTATTACACCAATAGCCCCTATTTTTTATATCTTAGAACAATTTGGCCTTTAGCCTATTTTTATTGAAAGTATGAATACTATTTTATAATTTTATTAGTCTCAAGGTGCATTGTTAGCCATCTCAATATTCATTGTCCACCTTGAAAACGGTAATGTGCGTCACTTGTTTTAAAAGGCGCCTGTCTGGTGGCGATTCTTTGTGAATTTTTAGCAAAATTTCGACTGCTATACAGTGTCAACAAGAAGCAGATTTCAAGGAAGTAACCGCAATTGTTGAACAAAATGAAGATGTCATAATTTTTTTATATGTTAAATTACGGAAATGTCCTCTTTAGCTTTTCTTCAATTTTTTTGGGAGGGTCATTTTCGGTAATTCATTCTATAAAAATCAGAGAACGTTGACTTTTTCAACAATTGTGGTTGAAACCCTGATTCTACAACGGTCCAAAATAAGCTAAAAATTTAGAAGAATCGCCACCAGACAGGCGCAAGATTTTGTGGTAGGTCAATTACACATATAACCTCTGTTCGAATTTCTTTTTTTTGACTAAAAAATTATATTTTATGTTGCTGAAAAAGTGAATAATACTTGTGAATCTTATCAAACTTATTGTTAAAATTAAAATTTAACATTGTAATAAAAAATTGAAACCAGAGTCATGATTGAGATCCACAGACTAACTTTTTAACATGGATGAGTATGGCGCCACATTTCAAACAAATAGATTAAAAAGTTTAAGTTGCTAAAACAAGTGTATAGATTGAGGACTAACCCTACAATTTGCCCTAAAACTTGGATGCTATAATAGAATTTATTTTATTTAATACGGGCAACCACGTTTCAGTAAGAAAGATATGCAATTTTAGGTTACCCGATAAAGAGCGGCTATAGCCTCTGCTTCTCCACTGTGCGCGCATCTCTACGATTTTGCGGCGGAGAGAGGAAACTCTTCCGATTGGTACCCACTCTTTATTTTTATTTTTTTTTACCCTTCATTCTGTAATTGTATTTTTCCAGTTCAAATTTGTGTTATGTCATGAAATTAATAAAATAACTGCTTGTTTAGATAAAAATCTTACTCGGATAACGGATTTGTTTCTGTATTTTTTATTTTTAACTCTTTTTGTCTGGTGATATTTAATTTAAAAAAGTAAATGAATCCAAGAGGCTGCCTTGTCGTTCCCTTTTTTTTGGAATTTTTCAGAGTCAGTATCATTTCTTCTATGTATGCCGATCTGTTTATTAATTATTTATTTATTTTTGATTATTTATATGACATTCCACCCTGATCTGCTAATTCGCCTCAATTCGTGTCTACAGGTCTGTCCTGTGCTGTGAAATTTTATAGATTCATCATCTCATGGCTGGTAAAGATAAAGATGCCAATAGTTCCAACACCAGTGAGTATCCATCTGCACTCTTATCTCATCCCAGTAGAGTACACTGCATCTCTTTTCTCTTCTTTATGGAGGAGGTGTGTACGTATTTGCACATACAATGTGGGTATTCTTTTGAAATATTATGATTTGGTTATGCAGAAGGAAAAAAGAAGGAAGTTAAGAAAGAGACTGGTCTAGGTCTCTCAGTCAAGAAAGATGACAACTTTGGAGAGTGGTATTCTGAGGTCACTTTCTTTCTATTTCTGGCTGCTTTTTCAATGTTGTCATATGTTGAGGTTGCATGTATATTTGTTGTGTTTACTACTGGCTACTTATTTTTATGATGTATTGTGCTTCCATGAATTCTTATTCACACATTTTCTTTTTAGTACGATATTTTGTCCTTGCAAACCTATCTCTAATTTAAATTGACTCCCAATTTCCTGTTTCAGTCTCATAAGTTTGAAACTGGAATCCTTTCGATCTAGCAGCCTTGATCACATTTTCACTCCTCTACTATATAGGTTGTTGTTAATGGTGAAATGATTGAGTACTATGACATATCTGGTTGTTACATTTTGCGGCCATGGGCGATGTCCATTTGGGAGATCTTGCAAGTAAGTTTTCATTGTGAAATTCTACTCTTTACTGGTAATATGTTACTTGATGTTCTTGCATTTAATTTTGATTTCTTTGATCCTTTTAGTAAATTCAATAGTGCTCTGAATAGAGTTGAATTTTTCAATATTAAAGACCGCAAGTTCTATGAGAAAGACTTGGTCTATTGTTGCAATAGTATTAGAGAATTGCATTACATGTGTGAAACCAGTTGTCATGTATTCTTTTACGATAACATATACTTTAGATGTGATATCCAAATATTTGAGGTGCACATTACTAGTAACAATGTTTTGCATTTTCCTATTTTCAAATCTAAGTTATTAGCTGTAATATCATGAGGAAAAAATTGGATCATTGTTGGGCATGGAATGTTACAATGTTTTGTCCTGTAATTTTTCCTTGCTTAATAATTATTTTGCCTGTTTGATAACCTTCACCTTTTTGATTCTCATCTCATTTTTTGAATCTAGATATGTCTGTTGAATCTGTTTCCTATGTAAATGTGCAGACCTTCTTTGATGCTGAAATTAAGAAAATGAAGATAAAAAACTGCTACTTCCCCCTCTTTGTGTCCCCTGGTGTTCTACAAAAGGAGAAGGATCATATAGAGGGGTTTGCTCCAGAGGTGAGATTAGTTTGCTCTTGACTCTAGTGTGTTACACCATATTTATCTGTAGTTTGGTGCATAATTAAGTATATTTTGGAAGTGTATGGATTATTTTCTTGAAAGTCAAGAGATTTGCTGGTGATAACTGTAACTCTTGGTTTGGCCTAGTTTACTTTCTGGGTCGATGATAAACAGGCAGCACATGATCAGTGATTATCAAGTTTGATGGCACCTTCTTGCAGATTCCTTCCTGTACATGAATCATTTTTCATCAGTTTGATTCATTGACTTAAAACTAATATTTGCTGAAAAATATAATGATATCGAGTTTCTACATTAACGCCTATAATAAACCACCATTAGAAATGCAATCTCAACCACTAGAAATGAGAACTCCATCATTCTTTGGTTATAACTATGATCTTGAACTGTTTACAGGTTGCATGGGTTACAAAGTCAGGAGAATCTGAGCTGGACGTGCCCATTGCCATTCGGCCAACTAGTGAAACTGTTATGTATCCTTATTTTTCTAAGTGGATTAGGGGACACCGTGATTTGCCTCTGAGACTTAACCAGTGGTGCAATGTTGTTCGATGGGAGTTCAGCAATCCTACTCCATTTATCAGGTGCTTTTCAGGGAGCTTGTCTTTTAGTTAATTTTGTGCTTTCTTGGCAGGACATGTTCAGTAGTCTTGCTGTTAGGAGAATACAGCTTCTATTTCACGAGGCCCAGTATTTGTATTAGATATAAACCAAAAACGAGTTGATCTCTTGTCCCCGGATTATCCTTTTTTTTTTGGTTACTTAAAAAATTGAACAGTCGTATCTTGTGACAAGGCAAATAAATGAAAACTATCAATAATCAGGTTTTGTCGTCTATTAATTGGTAGTATCATCTTTATGATTTTGCAGGAGTAGAGAGTTTCTTTGGCAGGAAGGGCATACTGCTTTTGCAGCAAAGGAGGAGGCCGATACCGAGGTACTTCTTGCTATATTATGGATTGCAATGCCAGGATTTTCACTTGTTATGAAGATTCAGAACTTTTTACTTTTGACTAAATTTTGCTCTTAAAGTGGAACCTCAACCTGAACAATTTAAAGACTTGCATTTTAATGACAAGAATTCCAGCCTCTCTTTTTCTGTATGCTTAGTACCTTTTCTCACTGCTGTAGTTGGAATCGTACTCTGTTATTGTTTTAGATTTTCTATGTTAGGTCATCTTTTTCAAAGTACTGCTTTCTTGCTTATGGTTACTTTATGTACTTATACAATAATTTTGGGGTGTCATTGGTTGAAGATTTTTTTGACTAGAAACTTGTGGACAGCGTTAGTTCTTGTTGCCAGAGCAAGGAACGCCTGTCCCATTACAGCGTCAAACTATTTTCTTGTGCTGGCTTCTGAGAGTTTTTTGTGATTACCGATTCCTACCTTGTTGCTGGTGTTAAACTATTTTCTTGCCGTGTGTGTATCTTTGAGTCTATCCACTGCTCTGCATATTCTTTCTGACTAGCAAAACTTTAATAAATATGGCATTGTTGTAAGAATAAAGTCAATGTTGATGGAGTTGGGTATGAATATCAGATTCAGATTCAGGCCTATGCCCAAGCGTCATATTCATCAAAAATCTCTCTTACTCTTCAAATGAAAGGAACCTTTTGCAATATCCTTATTTTGAGAATGGAGTGACTGACATGGGTAGTTTAGCCTTTTTAGAAGATTCCAGGAAATTGCTCGAGGATTCCCATGATACCGCCCTGGAAGCATTTTGATTTTTGAATTTGAAGAGCTGAAATGTTTATTCAATACATGCAGTTTTTTGGATGATTGTTGGGAAAAAAAAATATTTGATGATTTTTAATTTTACTTTTTACGAGTAATATTTCAGTTTTGGTAGCATTGTCAGGATATTTAACACAGAACTAGCAGTTCATTGTTTTTGTTGTGCAGTTTTCTTATTGTATTTGTTTCAGGTCCTTGAGATTCTGGAATTGTATAGACGTATTTATGAAGAATTCTTGGCTGTACCTGTTATTAAGGGCAAGAAAAGTGAGCATGAGAAGTTTGCTGGTGGACTTTACACCACTACTGTAGAGGTGTTTATTAATAATGACGCCATCTTATACAATTCTAATTATTCTGAGTGAGTGCTCTCTTCTTGTGAAGGGAACTTTTAACCAAATTTTTACATGATTTGATGCATTGTTTGCCAGGCTTTTATCCCAAACACGGGGCGTGGTATACAAGGTGCAACTTCACACTGTTTGGGTCAAAATTTTGCTAAAATGTTTGAGATCAATTTTGAAAATGATAAAGGAGAAAAGGCTATGGTCTGGCAGAATTCATGGGCTTATACTACCAGAACAGTAAGCAGGATATCCTTTCCTTTTGTCTTTATACACTTTTTTAGGGTTCTCATTTCTGTTGTTCAAAGGCAATTCTGAACAACTGTGGCAATCTTTTTAAAAGGAAAAGGCTTATCTTGTGCTTTCTTGAAAATCATTTTAAGCTATGCTGTTCAAAGCAGAAGAACAGTCTACGCATCATCTTTTTCTTTAAAGTAGTGAGCGTATTTCTCTTTGAAGGTTTTCTGGCAAATGCAGTGGAAAGGATGCAACTTAAAATGGGATTTGCCTCCCTTTTCATATTCCTTTCTTTCAACTTTTTCATAGAAAATATTAGTATTTCAGTTTGAAAATGAAACAGGCCCTAAATCTCAAGTCTGGTTTTATTAGCACAATTTCTTTCCACCACAGTGCTTATTGATTTTTGCTTTTCCATTTTGTTCTTTTAACTTTTGGCAGATAGGGGTAATGATTATGGTTCATGGGGATGATAAAGGCTTGGTGCTGCCTCCTAAAATAGCTTCTATCCAAGTAATCATAATTCCTGTACCCTATAAGGATGCCAACACTCAAGGAATCTTTGATGCATGTGCAGCTACCGTAAAGACCTTGAATGAAGCTGGCATCCGTGCCGAGGTGGACTCTCGAGATAACTACTCACCCGGATGGAAGTATTCAAATTGGGAAATGAAAGGTGTTCCTCTTAGGATTGAAATAGGCCCCAAGGACTTGGCTAATAATCAGGTATCAGAAATAAATTCTGCAATTTTTGTTTTTTTTTTATATTTTCCAGATCTATCGCTGCATAAATTAATTTATACTTAAGAAAAGATAAATTAAATGTACCCATTTGGGGTCTTTATTCATTATTTCTGTCATATTTGATGCTTGATTTGCTTCCTACTGAGATTTTTGTTTTTCAATCAGGTGCGTGCTGTCCGACGTGATAATTCAGCCAAAATTGATATTCCCATGGCTAATTTGGTTGAGCAAGTAAATGACTTGCTCAATAACATCCAGAGAAGTCTCTTTGAAGTTGCTAAACAAAAAAGAGATGCCTGCATTCAAACTGTAAACACGTGGGAAGAATTTGCGGAAGCACTGAGCCAAAATAAAATGATTCTGGCTCCATGGTGTGATGAGGAGGTATGATATCTATTTCTCCTTTTCTCGTGGCTACCCAATTGTACTCCTAGGAGCCGTTTTCTATGCATGGTAAATTTGATTTGTATATGGGAATCATTCCACCCCGCTCCTGAACACCGCAACTAGAAGTAGTACTAGCAGAAGGGCAAGTAGAAAAGATAGTGAAGAGTATAGGCAAGTTGCTCAACTTTACTGGGTTGCCATCCTGAAATTTCAAAATTTTGATGAAGGCGGGAGCTTTTTTTGACATCCTTGTCTATATGTACTTGAACAGATGAAAAATTCTACTGGCTAGGTCCTTGTAATGTAGTTTGCATGTTTGCTAGTTTGGCATTTCTAATTTATCAAAATCATCCTCGTGTAATTTTGTGTTTTGTACTGTAGGAGGTGGAGAAGGATGTAAAAGCACGGACAAAGGGCGAGATCGGTGCAGCCAAGTCCCTGTGTTCTCCATTTGACCAGCCAGAACTCCCAGAAGGTATAATAATACAAGTTCAGTTTTTGAGAATTTTGTTGATAGAAGTCCCGGATTTCCTGATGCAGCTTGGTGGTGAATGAACATTCCCTCCAGTGTGGAAAAATGAGTTTATAAACGATCATAGACTGGAGTATGGGTCGTTAATTTACTAATCACTTGATGTAATTTCCTTGGTTGCGAATTACTGGGGATTATTCAAAATATTCTTTTCTATGCAGGTACATTGTGCTTTGCCTCAGGAAAACCTGCCAGAAAGTGGACGTACTGGGGCCGGAGTTATTGAAGACTGGTTTTATATATATATTATCACCCCCTGCCATATAAAGCGCTACGATTGATTAAATTTCTGATTGATACTGTTGAGGTTAGATGATGTGAAACACCCATTCTAAAATAGTTAGTGTTTAAGATTCTCAGAAGATTTACCATATACCTCATGGATTTGTAGTTCCATTTTGCCCTTCGCGTTATGACTTTATAAAATGTGCTTGTAATGCCCATGAATGCTTTGATGCATTATAGTGATTTCTCCAGGCTATTTGAATGATTTGGTACAATATAGCTCGTTTGAGCTCATTTTTCTCTAAACTTATTTTCAATCGCATTCTCTCAAGAAAATAATTTTGGAAATAATCCAATTTATTTTTCTACTTTTTAATCATATAGTGAAAAAAATCACTATTTTACACAACAAAATGGGGGCTTAAACAAGGCATAATGATTATGTGGTAGTAAAAATGCAGCTCTTAAAATAAAGTTCACAACCAACAGAACAATTGCATAAAAAACCAAAATCAACAACAGTACAGGTTCTAGTGACACATTTAATAGCACAGCGATGATTTCAGTTTGGTGGTAACAGTAGCATTACATGAACAAGATAAAATGGAAAATGCCATAAGTGCAAATAAAACAAGACCTCATGAAATACCGGGCATACAAACATAAGAGAAATGTGTTGGAGCACGAAATTTCTCAATGCATGGGCCAAATTTGGCCTCTACTCATAATAGAGACGGTATCAGACATTCAGATGCGTGTTATCTCTGCATCACACGATGGCGTTCTTGTTTCCGAAATCGCTGAAGCATGAACTCATCTGTTGCAGCTGGCCTTCGAGCTGCTCCATCAGTAACTGAATCAGAATGTCTAGATACTGGACCAATATTGTCTACACCTTTATCTTTGTAAAGCTCAGGATGATCTGCCAATATATAATTGTAGTTTACATCAAAAATATCAACAAATAAGAAATTATGCAAAACAAAGCGAACATTTCTCTTGTGAAATTATTAAGTAGTGAATATGGTTGAAGGAAGGAATGGCGAGCCAGCAAATTCAAATGTCAGCCCTATTTTATAACATATACATTTTGCAAATATTTGGATTTTGCTTAGGTAACTTTAATTTTTAACATGCTTGTTTTAGCTTACAAGTTGCAAGCCACTTATCTTTTTCTCGTAAAAAAACTGTTACTTATTTTGATGTGTTCTTTTTAGGGGGGTTACTACCTAACTTTAAAAGATTTAAAAATTATAAGATAATATTCAGGGAAATATTACTCCAATATATGGATTCATGCACGTTTCTGTGTAGTGAGAAGACATAAGGTAAACTGACCTTTCCTAAGTTTTTCTGAATAGTCCTTTCCACGTTGGAAGTAGTCAGCACTGTAACTTGAGGGAATTCTGGAGTCTGCTTTAGTGCCACCCATTAACCTCTTTTCCTGTAAGAGCTTTTTGGCAGCCTCAGTTTCCTCGATATTCTTTAATTTGTATCTGTAGAGTAGTGAGTAATCAGAAGAAAGCAGTGAACTTCAGTTGTCTGGCAGTTACAGGTGATGTTTCCATACCCTTTTAACAGTGGCATGCCTATCGTACTCATTGTTTGAGTAAGAATTCATGCATCACTTTCATAAAACAAGGCAGTAGTACCCCATTGTACAGCTATGAATAAACTCAAGAAACATTGTAGCGAGAAGCTAGGTTACACAACTGCATTAACTTCTCTCCCTCCCATGCTTCCAAAAGCATTAAAATTCACATATAAGACTACAGAGTAGTGGAGGTAGCATGTCATTAAGAATAAAAAGCTTTCTTGAGGATCAACACTTTTGATATCATTTCAATCTTTATAGGGGGAATGGGACTGAATCATTGCTTGAGAGGAAAATAGAACAAGACTGATAGACCCCCCATCATACACACATATTCTAGAAGGCTTAAGAAGGTCAAGCGAGCAAGTGGGAGGGAACCAGCAACTGAGTTGGTTACATAAACAGAAAGTTGTTACCAAAAGGCTTATAACTAAGACAGTAGGAAGAACCAATAGGCAGGCAATTAGAAAGCGAGGGAGAGGAGTATTCGTATGTTTACAGCCTTCTATAGGCTTTTCTTATCATTTTCTGTTCTGTAATTCAGTTTGTCTTTTTAATAAAGAAGTTGTTGATTCTTAATTGATCTCGTTCTTTCCAGTAGAACCTTATCAGAGACTTACTCAATCGGAAGCTGAATTTCAGCAATTCCTGTGGTCCACTGAGTAGAGCTTTCTTCAGAGCTTCGCCTCTTCACCTGAAGGAAAAATATTGGGAAGCTTCAAAAACACAATTTTGATTCTGCGACTTGTATACATATATGTGTGTGTGTGTGTGTGTGTGTGTGTACACATACACATATCACTATTTCTGAGGAAGGTCCTATGACACCTATTATCTTCTTGTAAAAGAAATATATAGGCATGCATATGAAACTTAAATTAACAGTAAATTCAGACTTTCCTGTCATCCAAAAATTCGTCTGCTGAACAGTTACAGTTCAACCAGGACAATCAAAGAACCAATTAACTCGATAAAAATTTAGGCAATAACAATGAAAATGTAATAAAACTGGGGAGGCGGGCAACTTGCAGTAAATTGCTGTGTTTCACTTGTGTAAAATTGATAATATAGTGAACCAGCAATTGCAACACTCGTAGTGAGAGAAGACTGTATTATAGCATTGGTGACTGTAGGAATTTATGAACAAATAGACCAAATATACACTCTTTATGAAACCTCTGTTCAGAACTAGGCCAATGGGCACCAGTTCTTACAATGGCTATAGATGGACACCCAAGTCCTTTTATGTATATTGCCAGGATTTTATTAACCATGATGTATACAATGTCATTATGGATATTGTTTCCTCAGGGAACACTATGCCATGAAACATCACCAGCGCTCTTGCCTCCTAGTTGTTGAAGTCGCAACTGTTCCAACCTAATAGCTTGTCAAATGCTTCTAGTCCAATCATCACTAAAAAGATTGCTTTCTACTCTTATTACTGAAGGGAACAGTGGCCTTTGTTAAAGGTTTATAACTATTCCTAGTTAATGTTGTGAGGAAATTTAGTTTGGGCATGTACATCTATATTTATTAGACTTACTTACAGTTGTACCACTAGTTGGCCTCTAGTCTCATCAAAGATATTTTCAGATTCTTTCCATCTTCCACAGGTGCTTGGGAAGGTGACTCGCTTATTATTGAAAATGAAACCCTAAATTGGGGCTTAACCTTTTAAACAGATGTTGGTCCCTCCCAGCACAGCAAGGTGGTTCCCAGGGAAAAAAAAAAAAAAAAAAAAAGAAAAATTGAAAGAATTTTTTTTTTTG